ATACAAAGTGCAGGCCCTGGCTTTAACGTAAGGCCCTTCCCCGGAGAGCTCAGATGTCACAAGGAACAGCAAGGCAAAAATCAGATGCTGCTGGGAGAGGGGTAAACGAAGCTGTGGGAGCCTAAGGAAATTGTCTTCGATTTCTGTCAACTCTTCCAGAAGTAGGACACATCCTACCTTCTAAGGTGATCAGATGAGAAACGGAAGAGGTACTGAAGGTTTGAGGAGAGGAAAGCAAGCATGGGCTGGCCCATGGCCTTGTGATTAAGAGTCGGATCCCACGTGGCTGATTACATTTTGAATCCTGGCCCTGAGACCTGAAAATTATATCAGGTATGCCCCAAATCCCAGCAGGATGGAGAAATGGAGAGGAAGGGACTGTGGAATGATCATGCCCCACTGGGGAGCTGGCAACCGCAGTGGGCGCTGTCTCGTGGGACTGAAACCTTAACTTTGACTTGGGTCTGCACTAATTCCAGGCGGTGTGAGAATTTAGAGATTTTGTTTTTAATTTGTAGAATCTGAGTTAACTACGCGATCAGTGTCAGACTGAACTACAGGACAGCCAGTTGTTGTCACTGTGACTGCTGATGGAAACAGGAGTGGTGAACTCTCTTTGAAGACAAAGGCTGAAATAAGATCAAGTCGCTTTCTTTCAAAGTCGAACTGTAATTCCGTATTCACTCATTCCACAGATGTTTTCTGAACACCTTCTACAGATCAGGAAAAGTGGACATGGAATGTAAAGGTGGTGGAAATGTTTCGTAAAGGGGTCAAGGCGGGCTACCCACAGATACTGACAACCATCAGTACAGGCCGGAAGGTGTAGGAAAAGCGTTAGTGAACCTAATTGAGAGGTGGAGACAAAGGCCACATCAAAGTCCTCAGGCAGCAGATGCCTGAGATGTGCCTGAAGGTGAGCCAGAAGCCACTGTGGGAAAGAACGATGTAAATAAGGTCGCGACAAGGGGTCCAGGTGGCCTAGGACCTTTAGATACTATTGTAGTGATGAGACACCAGTGTAAGGATCTAAGTGGCAAGTCTAACTTTAAAGAATCACTCCAATATCCTGGAAGCCAAATTTTAAGTGTTACGAGGAGGTAAGCATGATGAGTGTTACCAAATAATGCTGACAGGTGAGGGTGAGAATGAAGACTAGATCATTAGATTAGCAATATGGGACCACCGGTAGCCCTGACAAGTTATGTCAAGCTACCATGACAGTGAGAACAAATTCGATTCAAGTAAATTTAAGACAGCAGAAGAGGAAGAATCCAGATGCTTGGGTAAAGACTATTCTCCAAAGGAATTCTGCTGTTTGGGGAAGGAGAAGTGGAATAGTAACTGAGAGAAACATGAGATTAAGAAAAGCATTTTTAAAGATAAAAGAAGTGTGCTCACATGCTAATGAGTATGATCCAGCAGAAAATGGAAAACTGATGATGCAGAAAAGAGACTTGATAAAGCGATAATCTTGAGAAGGTGAGAGGCAACAGGGTTCCATATACAAAGTGCAGGCCCTGGCTTTAACGTAAGGCCCTTCCCCGGAGAGCTCAGATGTCACAAGGAACAGCAAGGCAAAAATCAGATGCTGCTGGGAGAGGGGTAAACGAAGCTGTGGGAGCCTAAGGAAATTGTCTTCGATTTCTGTCAACTCTTCCAGAAGTAGGACACATCCTACCTTCTAAGGTGATCAGATGAGAAACGGAAGAGGTACTGAAGGTTTGAGGAGAGGAAAGCAAGCATGGGCTGGCCCATGGCCTTGTGATTAAGAGTCGGATCCCACGTGGCTGATTACATTTTGAATCCTGGCCCTGAGACCTGAAAATTATATCAGGTATGCCCCAAATCCCAGCAGGATGGAGAAATGGAGAGGAAGGGACTGTGGAATGATCATGCCCCACTGGGGGGTG